TTCTGGAATAAACGGCTACGTAAGTGATATCCATTTAACTCATTGGTTTCGACCACCCTATATAAATTCAAATATACTTTATAAGAAGCATTCAAATATGTTCTTTCTTGTACTCGTTAGCAGACTATACCGTCTTAAATTTTCGTACTTTAAGTAGGTGTATACTTCGGTTTAAAATAGTTTCCTAATTATGAGTTTTTACGACTGGTAAGAGTTCATTCCTAGTAAACAGTATCCGCTAATTTATTAACGTTGCCTATTATGGATACAACATGATCAAAATATACTGCAAATTATATGAGAACTAAGTGACCTCCCCCTCAGACCGTATGGAAAAACGCAATTTTCGTTATGCATAATGTACACCGATCGCAGTCTGGAAGCTTTGAAGTTAGCTGTGACGATCAGTAGACTTAAAGAATTGCCGAAATTAGGAAACTTTAAAAACATCAAAACTGTATACATATAGTACGGCCTCAAATTCGTGTAACATGCCGACATAGGTGAAAGATTGATACTCTCGCTAATTGGCATTAAGTAAGGTTGTAGTACTGATTAACATGTAGTCAATCCTGCAGTCATTTCGGTCATGATAGGACGTCGGCTTTCTAACGAGCTTCTTTCTGACCGCTAACAAAACGAATGAACTGTGAAAGGTGGCTTCTTAAGCCGTATGCATTTTCAGCACTGATCTTGACTGCCTTTATAAATTCAAATATATTTCATGGAAAAAATAAACGAACAAATTCCTTCTTGTACTCGTTTGGTGGAAAATTACACCTTCTTTAAATTTCATACTTATGTAGAGGATATCTTTTGGTTTTAAAAAATATATTTCTAAATTTTCGAATGAGTTCGAAACCTAGAGAATGCGACATTTGAATTCAGGGTTTACACACTACGCAGTGCGTTCATCCTGTTTAAGGAAAAGTACGTTTTCGCATACTGTTTGCGGAAGAAGGCACATAGTTCTCATAAAATGTTGCAATAGATGTGGAGCTCTTTAAAAGGTCGGCATTCGGTTGTGATTGAAATGAGTTGAGCTTAGGCTGCTCGTTAATAAATACTATAACCCTACTTAATTTTGTTTTAGGAATGATTATCAATCTTTCGCCAATTTCGGTATTTTGCACGAAATATCGGCCATATTGTATATACGTTACCTACTGTCGGTAATGTCACAGAAGCGCGGCCGATATTCTGAGGGGTGTTAACTAACGCCAACACCCAGTATTCATTCCTATTTCTTGCGGTCGAACTAAAGTAAGACATCGTCGTTCATACGAATTACGAGTAACACATACCTGGGATGCCAACATTTGCCTCAATTCGTGAGTTACGAAAAGTGTCAGCTGTGTAAATACCATTTTGTGCAGTTAATCTATTTCAAACCTGACCGGTGTCTTACTTATTCGCTTCTGTACGGCAGACATCGAACCATTAAGAAGATAGCATGGAAAGCGGAAGCACCCAGATGATGCTCTATTTTTTTCCGGTTCAACCACGCCGTATCAGAAACAGCACAACCCGTTCTATCCCTAAATTTCTATGGATTAATATTTAAACGAGGATTTAATGATAAA